AGATGTCTGCACCCGATGTTAAACTTACCATCTGAGGTAGAAGAGGTAATTCATGGTTTGATAAGATCGACAAGAGTTGCGTTAACTCCGGAGTGCGCTGCCTCACGACTCGAGAGAAAATGGACGCATAACAAATTTTTGACCAATACTTTTAATCTATTGTATAAGGGCACATCGCGAAATAGAACTTTTTTTCGGTGTTCAGGTATTTACGAATGTTCGAAATCGATATCCAAGCTGTCAGCTGCATCAAACAAAGATATTGGATAACCGATTTACCGGGAACAGCGTACGAGCGCTGCGGATTTCACGAAACGAATACTTGCTAGACTACTTGTTCGTATGCATTCTCACCACACATTTCAAGATCTAGCTTATATAGCATTTGTCAGCATTGTCTAACGTGTTGTAGTAAACCGTGTAAACCCAGGAGATAAATCCGTATAATCTCAAACGTCGAAGAAAATTGTAGGTACCATATGTATGCAAGAATCAACCCTTGAGAAAATCTCGTGATGAAGAATAGTGAACCCATATAAAGAATTCGAATAATAGTTTTAAAGCCTAAATTACTCTCATATATAATATAGCGTCATAATGAATCAGCGATAGAATATAATAGCGTAATTAATACTCTTAAGACGAACCGAGCTTGGTTCCAAAACGTTAGATGTCCCCAATTAAAGAATATTTTATGCGTCGTCTTCCTGTTTGTGGCTTACCAAAAATTTATAGCATAATCAGTATAACGATATAAAGAACGACAGAAAAATGTGGAGAAGGGTGACTCAGTAAGCAGACACGTATTAAAGGGAATATGCTAGGAAAAAGTAGAGGAATTATGCTAAGAATATATAATTACGGTGGGTTTCTACGAGGCTTTTCTAACAAGTTATATAAAATAAAATGCTCTCGTATTTCTGCTATGGTGTCGCTTTTGCGCAGAGCAAAAAACACCAGCATTAGTCTGCCAATTAAGTTCGATATGAGCCACTCTTCGTTTCTAAGGCATTTCTATACTGAAAGATCAGGGGATGCAATTCGTATTAATCCATAAGGAAAGAGGTGTGAAATTTTTTCGATTTCGCTACCATACCGCCGAACAATGAATTACGACTCTTGAGAAGACCAATGGACGAATCAAAAGGCATTTGGTAGAGGAATTCTGAGAATAGAATGAAAATAATGTTCGTATCGTCTGTTGGATGACCAAGGCCTGGAAATGCGGGGTAGCATATTTTGCCAAACTTTAACCTCTGTCCTGTCACGACTGAAAGGAAGATTGTTTTTGAGCTATCATAAATTAAATTATTTCTGTTACAGTTAAAGATGCTGCTGAAAATCTGCTTATGAAGTAAATGCTATGAGGCACGAAACAACAACAACAGGCATCATCCTCATTTCACATCGTAAAGTTGCGATGAACAGATTTGGCTAGCATTTTAAAGGGGTTAATAAAGACAGTATTTCGAAAGAGGCATCTTATGATTTTACACGGCGCTAAAGCAAACTTTTGAACAACGCATCAGAAAGTCAAGTCAAGATGGCAACAGGGCAAAGCTGCATGGGTAGAACAAATCAAGATAGGTGGAATGAAATGAAATTTCTTTGACGTTGACTGCCTCCCACCACAATCGACCTCTTGCTCAACTGACACTGAACTGATGAAGGCCGTTAAGCGTCTAGCGGCAATCAGTAGGGTATCTGAAACAGCCCAATCTGTAAGTGATGACAGCCACAAAATTTATGTCTCGGGGGGGGGAGGGTAAACGATTACCCATTGACTGAACGGGTAGAAGAGCGACAACCTTTGTTGATGTCTGTTTAACGATTATTTCTTATTTCTTCACATACTGCAGGCTTGCTGGATCACGTTCTTCTCAATTACAAGACCAAGAATGTAACAGCCTGAATTAAAGAGTGTATGATTGATGATCGAACTGACAAGACTGTTGCTGATCATAGCCAGGTTTAACAACATACTGACATTCGTGTTTCAACGACGACAACAGAACTTATACCAGGTGATAGCTGGTCTACTGAACAGAAGTCATAACAGGAGTACACATCAGACAGCATGATCTTATGACTCGTATGCTTTTTGAATGACCGCAACCAAGCACCATGTTGTTCCTGTTATCCGCATCCCGAATTCAATGACTCGTTAGTCACTTCTGGGCTGGCTGCACTGAAGCAATCAATTATAAAGTTTCCCTCGATATCTAATAGAACGACGCTCTGAATTGAAAGTCCCCCCCCCCGCAGATGAAGAGCTTTCTCTCGGATCAGAAACCTACGACAAGTAAAAGTAGCCATTGGAAATTAAAAAACTAGATTCATGGAAAAGTTTTGCTCAGAATCAAAACGATGCTTCTTTTGCAATTGACACTTGGCTTATGAATCCAAAGAAATAGCAGGCCGCTACCAAGCCCCATTTAGGCTTTGTTCGCTAAGCCTTTTGACCGCACAGCTGATCCTGAATATCTGTAATTTTTCAATCGCAGGTCGAACGAATGGTAAAACTGTAGCGAAGAGAAGAAGCTGCTTAAGCCTAGCAACCCTGAAACTTTAGTCGCTCTGTTTTACAAAAGAGCAGTCATACATTCCGTGCTGTTCAATGTCCCACCTTCGAATTTCTTATCTGAGGAGAGGCTACAACGTGATTGCGTATAGCGATTATCAGCGCATTAGCAGCCAGGATCTCGCAAAGTCAGTAAGTGAACAAGTTTGCTCTCTTCTTCGCATTCATCGCTAGTGCTCAAGAATTTGATCTTTAAAAAGCCACAGTCTTGACAGTGCTGTAGACAATGTCTAAGCGAAATTTATCGATGAACGTTTTGTACAGCAGGCATGAAAATCCTTAAGGTTTAATATTAACCGCAAAATGACCGCTAATAAGCTAACGGAAAATGCCACTAAAGGTGAACCTACTTGAAAGAAATTACTTGGTCTGCACGACGTTGCCTATACAA